AATAGATGTCTGGATGGATGGATAGATGGATGAATGAATGAGTGGAAGTAAGAAAGGAAGCAAAAAAGAGGGAATATCCATTTTTTGAGCACATTTGAACTTATCCACAAAGCTAACATTTTCTTTTAGATGTCTGATATAAGTTGATAAATTGGAGTAGTGTTAGTAAGTGCTCTATACTGTGTGCAGGGGGTGGGTGGGTAGGTGGATAGATGAACTGGTAGATGGGTAAGTATATGCATGTTTGAATGGATGGGTAATCAGATGGATAGAGGGGTGGATGGAGAGATGAAGAAACGGTTAAGTAGATAGGTGGGTGGATGGATGGGTGGTGAGTGGATGCATGTATGGGTACGTGGGTAGGTGTATGTATGTATGTATGTATGTATGTATGTATGTATGGGTGGGTGTATGGGTGGGTGGGTGAATGGATGGGTGTATGTTTATGTATGTATGAATGTTGTTGTTAAGTGCCATTGAGTTGGTTCTGACCCATAGAGACCCTGTATAGGGTTTTGGAGAAGCGGCTGGTGAGCTTGAACCGCCGACCTTGCAGTTCAAATGGCTTTGCCGTCTAGCACATTAACCCACAGTGCCACAGGGTAGGTGTATATATGGATGTATGGATGGGTAGGCAGGTGAGTATATGGATGGGTAAGGCGGGTGGATATATGTATGTATGGCTGGGTGGATGTATGTGTGTATGTATGTATATATGAGTAGATGGATATATGGATGGATTAATGGGTAGGCAGATGGGTGTGTGTGTGGGTGTGTGTGTGTGTGTGTGTATGTATGTATGAGTAGATGTATGCATGGATGGATGGATGGGTAGGCAGATGGATGGGTGTGTGTGTGTATGTATGTATGAGTAGATGGATATATGGATGGATGGATGGGTAGGCAGATGGGTGGGTGGCTGGGTGTATGTGTGTATATGTATGAGTAGATGGATATATGGATGGATGGATGGGTAGGCAGATGGGTGGGTGGGTCGGTGAATGGATGAATAGATGGGTAGAAGGAAGGAAGCAAAGAAGGAAGAAATGCTCATTTTTAGATATTCCCAAACTTACCCCTGAAGCAAACATGTTCTTTTAGATGTCTGATGTAAGTTGGAGTGGTTTTGCAGGAGAATAACAACAACATTCCTCTCTTTAACCTCTCCCTGAAAGCTGGGAGAGGAATAGACCCTTGACAAGGACTTGGGCCTTGCCTCAGGGGAGTAGCATCAGAACTTGTGGCGTCCTGTGTGATTGACAACCTTGGGGGCTATGACATCAGGCCCCCAGGAGCGGGTGTCAGAGGTCAGGCCCTTCTGCTGGCCTGCAGGTGGTCAGCCTGCCTTCCTCCCAGTCTAGATGCTCAGCACCCTGGACAGAAAGAAGCCCCAGGGAAAGATGGGGTGATTCTAAGTCAAGGATGCTGGCATATTGGTCCCCACTGGGTGTCACTGCTGTCCTGGTTCTGATCACATAGGGCCTCAGCAGGTGACAAATCAAAGAGCCCTCACTCACCCACCTCAGCGCCAGAGCCCAGCCCTGGGTGGTCCCATGAGTGCTGTGTACTGAGCAGCCACCCCTGTGACCTTCATGGTGAGAGCCACATCACTCTCTACAGATGCCCCAGGGCAGCACGAGCACGCCAAGCAGGAAGGCCTGGACAGTCCCCAGGGAGAGCAGAGCCGTGCTGCTCACGGTGACACAGGAGAGGGAGATGGCCGGGCTCCCGGTGCTGCTGATGAGGGAGGCGGTTGTTGCTCCAGGGTCGCTGCCCAGGGAGGCCTCAGGAGTCCCGGGATGAAGACAGAGGGAGGACGTTGAGGCATGACCTCGGACCTGGTCTTCTGCATGGTGTGTGTTCATCCTTGGAAACACCACCCCAAATCCCTGGGCCCAGGGACAGGCTGGCACCCACTCATCAGCACCGAGGCCATCTAGAGTTCAAGCCTAGCCTGAGTTTGCTCTGATGATGCACCAAGTAGGCAGGGAGGGCAAGGCAGGACACGGGGCTCTCAGGGGACGGAAGGGACTGACCAGAGTGAGAACATGAATTCAGAAAGAAGCAGTTCTGCAGTGCTTTGCTTTGGGGCAGAAAACCTCAGAAGTGAATCCCGTGGAGTCGGTCCTGACTCAGCACAACCTCAGGCACAATGAAATGAACCCCCCCCCCCCTGAATCCTGCCCACCCCCAGGTAATCTGCCCTTTGTGACCCTTTGGGTTTTCATTGGCTGACCTCCAGAAGCAGGCTACGGGGCCTCCCTACTTGATCTTTGTAAACTCCACCAAAACCTGGGGCATTGTAGTAACATGCAAGCCGTGACTGACAGGCAGGTGGTGGCTGTGCAAGAGAGGCACTGGGTGGGAACCAAACCCTGGTCTCCTGCAAAGAAGACGAGGATTCCACCAGTGAGCGATCACTGCCTCCTGACTACTGTGGGGCAACCGCAGTGACATCCACTTCTGTCCACCAGGGTCCGAGCTGAGTGCAGCGAGGGTTCCAGAGCACATCTAGGGAAGAAAGTGTGTGGTCAACTGTAAAACGAATGTGTGCGGTCTGGAGGGGCATGAAGGGGACACCCTGCAGCACTGTCCTCTGAGTTATGTGAGCCATTTCATCAGGGACGTTCAGGGATGACCCAACAGAGGGCTGCTGTCACACCTCCCCTCTGGCTCTCTGTCCTGTGGCAGCCTGCCTCCTGGCTCTGCCTTAGCACCTTTCACAACAAATTGCCTTTTGTTCCTACCAAATGCCACTTTAGTTGGATCGAAGTTGCCCATATAATTTATTAACGTGTAAGTGTTCCATCTGGGTTTCCCAGAATGACCATGGGCCTGGGTCTTAGTTATCTAGTGCAGCTATAATAGAAACACTACAAGTGGATGTTGTAGATGCTATACTGTTGATTCCGCATGGTACTGACCCTCTGCACAACAGAAGGAATCACTGACCAGTCCTGTGCCGTCCTCATCATTGTGGTCGTAGTTGAACTCATTGTTGTCGCTGTGTTCATCCATCTCATTGGGGGTCTTTCTATTTTTTGCTGTTTGTCCACCTTGCCAAGCATGATGTTCTCCTCCAGGGACCAGTCCTTCTTACAACATGTCCAAAGGAGGAAAGACTCAAGTTCCCTTACCCTTGTGTCTAAGGAACATTCTGGCTGTCCATATTCCAACACAGTACTTCTGGTAGTCCATGGTACTTGCAATATTCTTCTCCAACACCACGATTTAAATGCATTGATTCTTCTACAGTCTTCCTTATTTATTGTCCAACATTGTCCATGCATATGAAGTGATTGAAAATACCATGGCTTAGTCCTCAAACTGACATCTTTACCACAAAGAGGGTGGCTTTAACAGACAGAAATTTATCCTTTCACAGTTTAGGAGAAGTTGAAATTCAGGGTGTTGGCTCTGGAAGGAGGCTTACTTTCTCTGGAGGAATGTCCTGTCTCTTTTCAACATCCATAAGCCCAGTGTTCTTTGGAGATCTCCGTGTGTCTTGACATCAATCCTTCCCTGAGTCTAGGAGGTTCTCAGCACAGGGTCCCCAAGCCCAAAGGACATGCCCTCTCCTAGCTCTTGTGTTTCAGTGGTAGTAGGTCTCGATTCTCATCTTGGGTCCATGTCCTTTTCTCTCTTGTAAGGTAGAAGGTGATTCAGGCTACACCCCAGGGGACCTCCCTGACATCAGAGCAGGGCTGTGATCTGAGTCAGGGTGTTGAAACCATGACCTCTTATCTGTGCCACTGCTTGGATATGAAGCTGTGTCTTGGGTATACCCCTTCTAGGGCTCTGTCCATGTTGACTCAACCCAGGACAGATGGAAAGGAAGACAGGAGACCTCTGTGTCCCCTCAGACTGCTCTGCAGACCAGATGTAGTGAATTGAGCCATGGGGACCCTTGTAGTAAGCGCTGAGCTATTTGAAAGAACCGTTTCTTCTAAGATCTCCAGGCAGCCCAAAGCCCCTGCTCTTTCAGCTCTTAAGCTGACTTATTTTTTCCTGCCAAGCTGCAAAGCCTATTTAGAAAGAATGGCTTGGAAAGGTTTTCTTGAATAGACTTGAATCTCTTGCCCCAACGTCTTCCTTGGCCCTTTCCCATGGCTTCCTTTTTATGGAAGAAAGGTCTTCTGAGACCACGATGAAGGGGATGATGACAGGTGGGCCTAGTGTGTGATGAGAAACCCACGGTCAGTTTGAACTGATTCTGTCATGGCCAACGAAGTGAAAACAGAACAGACCCCACACTTCTCAATGTGGGTGAAAGCCTTGGAGTGGGAGACTCGGAAGAGGCGTGGTTAGCCCTTTTGGGAACCTGGTGTGGAAGACTGGATGCTTCCTGCAATGACTGTGGGGAGAGATGCCATTCAAACCAACGTGGTCAGCCGCTGGACACCGCTATTTCCGACTCTGTTAATCAAGAGATTTGGTGGCTGTAAAATACTCACACTGCCCTTGTTTTCTAAGAGGGGGATTAAGTTTTGAGCAGGGTGTCCATCCATCCTTCTAGTTCAACCACATTTCACAATGGGTCCATTTGGATCCATTCCAGTTTGGCTTCATGACCGTGACTAACCTGGGAAGAACTTGTTTGAAACCCTGGTGACATCTCTCCCTCACAAATGGCTTCATTAGTGCATCTCCAGTGACTTGGCTGGGAGCTGTTTTGCACAGATTTCCAGTTTGCGCCTTAAATGTGTTTGCCCAGAGCCTTGATTGGCCCAGTCACCTCCTGCTCTAGAAGCTACTGTTCTGGACTCTGATCTGCTTTCCTGATATGAGGGTGTGTTGTGTTCTGGTTTCCATATTTCTCATAGCTGGAGGGAGTGTCCTGGGAGTCCCCTCCCTTGCCGCTCCTACCCACTAGGGAGGTCCCCATTTTTCTAGGTGCCCAGTCTGAGTTGGTCCTCCTGGAAGCTGAGTCAGGCCTGAGGACTAACTCTTCCTTTTCAATATTTTCACTCCTGCTTCTTGGAGGAAGGAAGGCAGAGACCATGAACCCTGCCATCAACTGTGAGCACCCCAACCCCCTGGTGAGTAGTGTTGGTAGGGGAGAGGGGAGGGAAGAGGGAGCCAACTTGGGGAGAGCTGCCGGGGGTGGGGCCGCCCCCACCTGCTCACACACCTCAGAGCCCAGTTCCAACCTCAGGGCCTGCTGTCTCCAGGGACAATGGCTCTGTGGTAAACAGAACCACTGACCAGGGAGCTCTGTTTGCTCCTTGAAGATTCCCTGAAGCAAAGCAGGCTGTACCCATTTAACAGTTGAGAAGCCTGAAGCCTTGAGACATAAAGTCAGGGTGGCCCACCAGGCCTCTTCAGCTGGCCATTAACCCCTTACTGCCCTCACCAGCCTGTGCTGGCCACCTGAAAAGGAGAGGCTGGGTGAGTGGAGCCCCTTTGCCTTTGTCACTGCCCACCTCTGGGGAAAAGTTTTCCAATCTCCTGTCCCGGGCCCCAGCCCCATGAGACCCAGCCACCAAGTCTGTGGGACAGAACTGCTCCCTGGGCACCCTCTTCTGAGAACTCATGGGAGGTGCCCCAGAGACACCTTTTCCATTCCTTTCTTCAGAATTCTCTTAGCGTCCTTCTGTCACCTGTCAGAAGCCCAAAGAACATCATAGGAAGTGGGGTGAAGATTCGGTTTTCTGAAGGACTGCTGTGTTTTCTACCTGTTTGGGTTGCTGCTGTTGGTGTAAAGGGCACTTAGACAAAGAGGGTGACGTCAGCACCCTTTCCAGAAAGCTCTCTGACAAATGCGCACTACCTTTGGTTCAGAGCCTGCCTGCGATGTGACCCGTCCCAGGAATGCAGTGGGCGTGTCGCTGAGAGCCATAGACCTTCACATTGGGGCTGCTCCTTGGCCACTCTGGAGACCTTCTCTCCTGTTCTGTCCACTCACAAACCTGAAGCCAGAAACTCAAAGCAAACCAGGTGCCATCAAATGACCTCCAACTCTTAACAAGCTCATGTATCATGAAGCAGAACTGTGACTTTCAGAAGGATTTAGCCTGGTCTTTCTTTCGAGGTGCCTGTGAGTGGGTTTGAACTGTCAACCTTTCAGTTAGCAGTCTTCTTAACTTAAAATTCTGTATCACTGAAGAACCCCTGATTGTCTGCCCTAGATGTGTGTCCAAAGTATTGAGTCAGGGGCTCGGAGAGCTCATAATGATAACTACTAACATTTATTGGACAATTACTCTGTGCCAAGCATTGAATGGTGTGTCTCATGCTCCGATTTACTTATCTCAGCTATCTCTGAGGGATGTACTATTGACATTTCTTGTTAGGTCAATGAAAAGAGTGAGGCTTTGAAATATTAGTAATTTGCCCTAGGTTGGTAACCTATACAGCCTATAGATTGGAGGGGTCAGTTATAATTTGAAGCTAATCTTGGTTAAACTACAGGAAGGTAAGTAGTGACCCTAAGATATTCTATATGCACTGTACTTATGTTTGTATGTTTCACCTATGCACCCACCCACCCATCATCCATTCACCGGTCCATCTGTCAATCCATCCATCCATTCATCTACCCTTCCATTCATTCATTGAGTTTCCATTGAGGAAGTATTTTTGACATGCTGGGGACGCTCTAGAATTTGAGGGGATGAAGCAAAGGCAGGCACATGCAATGCATTCTGGGAACCCAAAGGAAGAGGTGAACAAGAAAGAATCTGATTTGTTAAGCATACTATGCTGTACGCTTTGGCAGATGGAAGCACAGGACTGCAGAGCACACACCCAGAGGGCAATGAGGCACTTACCTGCTGCCTGGGAGGGAAACCTGGCCATTTTCTGATTGGTGTTGGCCTGCCCCCTGCCCCACAGAGCCCCTTCTCTACTAAACTCCCCTCCACTGGCAAAGCCCCCAGACTTCCTGTGGAGGCCCTGTGCAGATGCATAGTATGATGGGACTTCAAAAAGTCTGTGGAAATATTCCATCGTCTTTTCATTCCATTTTTTCTGAAGCCCCTTCCTATAGGCACATCTCAGCGATATCATGGGTGTGGCTCTAGACCACCTCAGTAAAGCAAGTGTCTCATCAAGGGAATACATGAGTTGGGCTAATGCGTCAGACTGCAAAGTCGTTTGAACTGTGAGGTCGGTGGTTCAAGCTCACCAGATGCTCCGTGGAAACCCTATACAGGGTCACTATGGGTCAGAATCAACTTGATGGCACTTAACAATAACAACACAGCAATGCATATAAAAGTTATGTTGACACTATACTGTAGTCTCTTACGTGTTCAATAGTGTTAATAAAAAGTTTGAAATTTTGTGAGAATGAACAAAAGACACAATGAACACCTGCTGTTGAAAAAAATGGCACTGTTTGGCTTACTCAGCGCCACAAAACTTCAATTTGTTAAAAATTCAGTGTCTGCAGAGTGCAGTAAAACGAAGTGTAGTTCAAGGGGGTAAGCCTACAGAACGCCACTGTCTTTTGAATCTTGAAGTCCCCAGTCAACCAAGAAACCAGTTCTGACTCCTGGTGACAACATGAGAACAGCTTCATAGAGCTTCCTGGCTGGAACCGTACGGCGGCAAGATAGCCAAGCCTATCTTCTGCGGTACCACTATGAGTGTGAACCACAAACATTTAGTGAAGACCAAACAGTCTGAGCCACCCAGGGGCCTTAGCAGGTCAACAGCTCCCCCACCCCCACCCCATCTACAGTCTCCTGCCTCTGGAAGACCGACCCTCCTGCTGAAATCAGAAGAGATTCCTCTAGAAATGCCCAGAAATGTCCTGTTCTTGCTCCCAACAGAGCAGTGTTGATGTGCTTAGCTCCCACCCGGATGGTCAAGACAGCAAGAAGGATGGGCAGGCCAACAAACCCAGCAGTAGCCACCTGGCCTATGACATCCTGGACATCCCGCCCTGGTACCTCTGCATCTTTTTGGGGATCCAGGTAATGCCACCCAGGAAGCTGTGGGTCCAAGAGGCCCTGTTTCCAAAGCCACATCCACACACACCTAGGTCTAACTAGCAGTACCAGTAGAGCAGACGCAGACTCATGGCAACCCATGGATGTCAGAGGAGAAGTGCGCTCCATAGAGCTTTCAATAGCTTTGTTCTTTCAGAAGTCAATAGCCAGGACTTTCTTCTGAGGCTCCTCTGGGTGGCCTCAAGCCTCCAACCTTTTGGTTAACAGCTGAACAGATTAACTGTTTGCTCTCCCCAGAGACCCCCAGGTCAAACTGGTCAACATCAAAACTGTGAGTTACTGATATTGTTGGACTCCAGAGTCGCTCAAGGCTGTTCTGGCTTCACTTTCTAGGATTTAGGAGTGGGAACCAAAGGGTTCTCTGTCTAGATCAGGCCGTTGTTCTCTTGGGTGGGGCCACTGAGCTGGTTAGAGGCCTGATGCCCTTGGGTGGGCTTCTTTCCCTAGTAATCCTGGGAGAGGGTTCAGAGTTGCACTGCCAGCCAACAGGTCATGGGAGGGAAATGTAGCTGTCTACTTCGGCAAAGGTTACAGCCTTGGGAACATACCATGAGTGGTTCTCCCCTGTCCCATACCTTCCACCACTGCTACTCCTGTTACCACCAAACCGCTTCACAACCACCACCACCACCATCACCATTGCTACCATGACCACCACCACCAGCACCATTATTATCACCATTACTACTACCACCACCGCCGCCATCACCATCATTACTACTACCACGACCACTACCACCAACACCACTTCATGACCACCACAACCACCACCGCCGCCATCACCATCATTACTACTACCACGACCACTACCACCAACACCACTTCATGACCACCACAACCACCACCGCCGCCATCACGACCATCACCACTGCCACCACTATTGCTAGCACTGCTCCCTGCCATGGAGTCAGTTCTGACTCACAGTGACACACTATAGGGTTTCCAAGGCTGTAAATCTTTATGGGAACAGAAAGCTTCATCTTTCTCCCCTGGAGTAGCTGGTGGGTTTGAACTGCCAACCTTATAGTTTAACAGTCTAGTAGTTAGCCTACAGCACTGTTAAATCTCCTTACTCTGTGCTGCACGGTGGCTGTGTGAGTTAGAACTGACTCGAACGTAGTGGGCTTGGTTGGGAGAGGAACTGGGCCAAGTCTGCATCCTGAATGTCAGCCTACCAGCGGCAGCGTCTTGTTGTCACTCCGCTTCCACCCAGATGCCTAGCATTCTTGGGGTCAAGAGAGTTATTTGATCACTTGGTTGGGCAGTGTCTCTGGGCCTGGTACAAGATGGGCTACGAAACCATGGTGGAGTCCTGGCCTAGAATCTGGTGGCCTGTGCGGGCTGAGCGGGCAGCAGGTCACAGAGGCCCTGGACTTTCACATGTCACTGATTCCAGTAGGACATCAGAACAATAGCAAGAATGTACAGGTCCTCCTACAAAGGTACAGACATTTCTTCTCTGGAAACTTGCCCTCCCCAAGTGGTAGCCAACGCCTATTTGACCATAGTCTGTTTATTGCACCTTCTGGATGAACCAAAGAAAACACAAAAAGAGGCAACCTGTGCCTTTCAGTGGGAGTTTAAAGTTTTCTGCCCCCAGCCCCCACCCCCCACATCTCATTCCTACTTTTTACTATCTCCAGAGATCAGTGCTGATCAAACTGGTCAACCTGTTCCAGAATATTCCCTGATCAAAGTTAAATGGTTCTTATTTCTATCTATCTATCTATCTATCTATCTATCTATCTATCTATCTATCTATCAATCTATCATCTATCTATCTATCTATCTATCTATCTATCTATCTATCTATCTAATTTCTATCTAATCTATCCCCTTCTCACTGTTGTAGATTCAGCCCTGCCCAGAACAAGAACAAACAGGTAGAATCCTGTTCTCTCAGGGAACGCAAACAGCCCTTGGCCAGTAGCTAAAAGCACAGGCTCGGGTCTTCCTTGTCAGTGGCCTGGCCCTCACTGGGCACCTTGTTTTATTCTGAGTAACCATGAACCATGATCAGTCGGCAGGAATGGATTGGTTTTGGGTTTCTGCCTTCCCCTGCTGGGGACCTGGCACATTGTCCTGTGTGTATCGACCTTGGTTTCTTGCCCAGGGCAGCAGGGCCCTGCTCCCCCACTGGCTGCCTGGCTCCACCGTGGAGGGAGGGTGGGCTGGTGAGCCTAAGGGATAGCAGTGTCTCCAGGATTCCCCTCTGCCCACAGCACTTCCTCACAGCCCTGGGAGGGCTCGTGGCGGTCCCTCTCATCCTGGCGAAAGACCTGTGCCTGCAGCATGACCCCCTGGCCCAGAGCTACCTCATCAGCACCATTTTCTTCGTCTCTGGCATCTGCACTCTCCTGCAAGTGTTCCTAGGGGTCAGGTGAGTGGAGGGATCTCATGCAGGTTCAGACTTTTCCCTGCCAGGGTTGTTGTTTTTGCAGCTGCCACCATGTCAGCCCCATGTGCAATGAGGCACAACACTTGATTGATTGCGGATTGACCATAGGACTTCCATTGGCTGACTTTGGGAAGTAAGTCTCCAGGTCCTTTTTCCTAGTCCATCTTGAGCATCATAGCAGCATGCAAGCCTCCACTTATATATCCACGGGCGGGCGATGGCTGTGCAGAGCAGCACTGACTGAAGATCAATCCAGGCTTCCCTCATGGAAGGCTAGAATTCTATCAGTGAACAACCACTGCCCCCACCTGTCAGGGTAGCAGCAGGTATGCTTGGCTGGTAGCTGGAGAGATGTTAGGAAGTTGGCATAGTATTAAAGAGGAAGCACAAGATTAGGGGGTCAGAGCCGGTTCAAGTTCTAGCTCCAACGCTTACTACCTGTCTTAGCTGGATTCTTGATTGAATGTGATTAGCTTAGGTAAAAATATGGTCTTCGTTAACTTTTAAGATCAAACCCAGAGAGAGGCTGGGTGCATCTAGGTGTCAGGAATATGGTGACCAGGACCCTCTCTCTATGTCTCATCCCTCTCAGGCTTGGGGCAAGAATATAAAATGGAGACTCACACTCTGTGTCTAACTGATGGACAGTTAGTGACACTAAGTTGAGTGTCACAGTCTGGATTCCCTTGAGGAGCAAAACCAGTGAAGCATCTATAAATATGTTGTTGTTAAGTGCCATCAAGTTCGTTCTGATCCATAGTGACCCTGTATAGGGTTTCTGAGGAGCAGCTGGTGAGCTTGAACCACAGACCTTACGGTTCAAACCGACTTTGCAGTCCAGCGCATTAACCCACAGTGCCACACTGGGACTACATAGAGAGCAATGGACTTCAAGGAAATAGCTTGCACAACTGTGAGGAAATGAGTCATGTGATTGTGGGTGGAAAGTCACACATCTCTGAGTCAGGTGATGGGCTGAAGACCTCTGCTGGCTCACATGGTTTGCAGGGACTGACTAACCCAAAATCTGTAGGTCAAGTGACAGACTGGAGTCCTCTGCTGGCTCACAGAAGTGCAGGGTTTGGTAAATCCAAAATCTGGAGGTCAGACCACATTCTAGAGACTTCTGCAGGCTTATGCCCCCAAGAAGCAGAAGTCAGCAACGAGAAGCAGGCAGGGTCAAGAAAAAGAAACAGTTTTGCCAGAGTATCCATTTATATACTGGAGTCAGGCCACACCCCCAAGGAAACTCCCCTTTCAGTTGATTGGCTGCTCACATCAGACTCCAAAATGGAAAATGCTTGCAACATGTCTACCAATTGAGAGTCATAGCCTAGCTAAGTTGACACATACAATTAACTGTCACATCAAGTTTAAATTAACAACACAAACCACCTACTGTTCCACTGACTCCAACTCACGACCACCCCCTGTGTGTTACAATAGAACTGTGTGCCATGGTTGTTTTTTTGTTTTGTTTTTGAGGGAGGGAGTGAAGTGGGATGGTAACAAAACATTTACCATCGCAACAGTTTCTGCATGTATATTTCAGTGATATTGATTATGCTTTTCATGTTGTGCAACCATTATCACTATCCCATTCCAAATGATTCCAGGACTGCTAACATAAATACTCAATGTCCCTAATTAACAATATCCCCTTCTGCCTCCCCACTGTAATTATTAGTAACCTCGGGTTTATATACAATTGTTATCTCCTATAAATCAGATTATATACAGTACGTTTGTCCTTTTGCAACTGACTGATTTCATTCAGCTTAATATCATGTTTGGTAGGGTTGTGGGTCAGAGAGAAAGAGGAAGACCCCCAGCGAGATGGATTGGCAAAGTGGCAGTATCAATGGGCTCAAGCGTGGCAACAATCGTGAGGTTGGCCCAGGATCTGGCAGTGTTTTATTCTGCTGTGCATATAAGGTCGCTATGAGTCGGTACCGACTCGATGGCACCTAACAACAACAACAATGTTTTCAAGGAGTCCGGGTAGGGCGCTGTGAGTTAATGCACCAGACTGCAAAGCCGTTTGAACTGCAAGATCAGCAGTTCAAGCTCACCAGCTGCTCCTCGGAAACCCTATACAGGGTCGCTGTGGGTAGGAACCGACTTCATGGCACTTGACAACAACAACAATGTTTTCAAGGTTCGCCCATGGGATGTGTATCACGACCTCAGTTCTTTATGGCTGACCCGTAGTCCATTTATGCATTATCACTTCTTGTTTACCCCTTCACCTGTTGGTGGACATCTAGGCGGTTTCTACCTTTTGGCTGTTATGAAACGTGTTACAATAAACACACTGGTATGCAGGTGCCATAGTGTTTTCTGAAGTTTTATTTTTGAAAGTAGATTGCCAAGACTTTCTTCCAAGGTACCTCTGAGTGGATTCAAACATCCAACATTCAGTTAGCAGCTGACTACGTTAACAGTTAGCACCCAGAAACAGAAACCAGCTTCTGGTTATTGTCTGTCGTCAAGTCAGTTCTGACACATAGGGTTTCTGAGGCTGTAAATCTTTATGGAGACAGAAAGTCTCCTCCTTTTCCCATGGAGCTGTTGGTAGATTTGAACTGCCGACCTTGTGGTTAAGTGGCCTAACTAGTAACCCACTATGCTCCCAGGGCTCCTTAAACCAAGCTGGTCATTGTTGCTAAGTGCCGTCAAGTCGGTTCTGACTCTTAGCAACTCTATATAGTGTTTCCGAGGAGCTGCTGGTGGGTTTGGACCACTGACCTTGTGGTTGGCAGTCCAGTGCTGATCGTACAGCGTCACAGCCTTGGAAAGCCAGGTTTGAGTCTGGAATTCTCTGACTCCTTGGAGTTCTGCTTTAGGACCTGGAGATGTAGGACTTCCCCAGCTCTTCCCCACTCCAGATTGTCTCCAAGTCATAAAAGGTCTCCCATAAATGTGCTATACACCCCAACTGCACACCCACTTCCAGCTATACCAGTCCACTCGACAGCTGCCCCTCTGCCTTCCTTCAGGCCTGGGGTATGCACACCTAAATTTTGACAGATGTGGGAAAGGGGCTCAGGTAGGCTCTAGAAGAGGGAAAAGGGCTATTGGACAGGACTTCTGTGACTGAAAGGGACAGGAAACACAAGGTGGGCTGATTCCTGCTCACAGGAGGCTAGAGGGGACCCTTTTAAGCACTGAGCTAAGTCTCCGTGGGGAGGGGGCTCTCCCTGGTCTAAGGTGGACTAGTCTCTTGCTTCCTGTGCTTTGGCTCAGCTTCCTTCTCACAGACTGGCTTGGCTCATGTGACTCTAGGCAGGGCTGTTGCCTGACCACCCAACTCAAATGAGTACAGCTCTCACCTATAAAATTCCAGGGAAGTGTTTGGATTGGCTAAGCTTAAGTCAACTGCCCACTCCTGGATCCAACCGGGCAATGAATATGGTGACTCCCATGCAGGAAGCTTCCCAGTGACGGGAGAAGAGGCATGTCCTCCTGGAAAGACAAGGCAGTGGATAGTCTGAAGCCAGATAACATGATCTGGGACCCATAAAATAAGGCCAATGATAGTATGAGTCCCTCTCCCTTACATGACAGGTGTACAGCACTTAACATCTGTGATACGTTCCGTAAAATAGGAATTTATGTCATTGGGACTTTGTGTGAACAGCATACTAAAACCTTACATGATCAAAATGATAAGAAAGACGAGACTTATCATTAGAAAGAGACTGGAGGCACTCAAGTCTATGGGCCTCAGTCGCTCTTCAGTTCTGGAACTGAACCCTTCCTCGTGACTTAATGTCCAGCTCAGAGGTAAATGTATGGGGGAGAGCACGTGAGTGAGGTAGGCACACCATGGGATGGCTATCCATTCAAGATCCAAAGGGCAGCATTTCTTTAAAGACACAAGTCAGAAGGGTTGAGAAAGAAGGTGGAACAGAACCAAGAGGCACAGGGAGGCAGTGGGCTCACTGAGGTTGCCTGGAGGGGATTGCAATCATTGAGATGAAATGAAGTGTATGATTTGTCCAGTGCAAAACTGATGAGGTGCGCTGTAACCTTCACTCAACTCACACACAAAAAGTTTAAATAAAGCAACACCCCCACCCCCCACCCCCAAACCTATGGGGACCTGCTTCTGCTCATCCTTGTCAATGCTGCTGTGAAGGCTGCAGGCAGTGACAGTGGGGGTGGAGTGAGAAGTCAGTAAACACATCCTGCCCCACCTACCCATCAGACAAAGCCTGAGAACCCTGACCCAGAGCCATGACCTCAGCCTCACCTGCCTCTCTCCAACCGTGGTCCAGTACTGTAAGTTGGAGTTGGAGTCTTTAAAACCATTAAGAGGTAACAAGAACCCCAAGAAGAATTGCTTTTTCTTTAAAAAACCATCTGATGGAACCACCGACATATATGCAGTCAGATGTTGTCCAGATAGATGGTCAGGCAACACATACTCCATACTGTGTTACTGAGACGGTCAGTTGGTATAGTCAGTGGAATCTGTTTGTTTGTTATTGTTATTTTAAAAACACAAAGTTCTTTATGTTCCTGTGTGCTGTTCAAGTCAGCCTGAGTTACTTTAGTGCTGGCCTCCCACACAACACTGCCATGCATGGTGTCTTTGTGTCCTGGAGCTGCCCTAACAACTGCCACAAACTGGGTGGCTTAAAACAACAGAAGCATGTTCCCTCTCACTCCTGGAGGCTCCAAGTCTGCCATCATGGTGTCATTAGGGCCATGGGGAAGAGTCGGCGTCATGCCTCTCTCCAGCTTCTGGTCTTGTTGAAGCATCGCTCCAGCCTCAGTTTCCATCTTCACTTGGCCGTCTTCCCTTTGTGTTTGTCTGTCTGTCTGCGTCTCCTCTCATCACCTTATACAGACGCTAGTCATATTGAAGTAGGAACCACTCAACTCCAGAGTCACCTCATGATACCTTAATCACGTAAGCAAAGACACTGATTCCAAATAAAGACACATTCACAGGTATCTAGGACTGGAGCACAGCT